TTCATGGTCAGCCACTGAAACGTTTTCTTATACAAGGTGTGACCATGTGTGGGCACTGAAACCATGGTGTTTGGATGACTGTTCGCGACAGCTCGTCTGTGTTCGTTAACCGGTGCCTGGATTCCCTTCATAAGTTTTTTTGTTCATGAACTCGTATTAAATTGAAAGGTGACTTCTTTCGATTCTACGATTTTCGATGGCACTAGAAATAAGATTTCTTCGCTTTATTTTATGTTTAGTTCATTCATGGATCATTTGGAATTTTCCTCCGGAAGACTTATTTTGCTTTTTATGTGATATTTCATTTCTTCTGCCTTATACACATCTTTCTCATGTGCAAGTAATGTAGTACAGGGAAATTTTAATAAATACGTGTAACGGTTGATGAACAGAATCGCCAGTAAGTACCATTTGTAGCAAAAGAAATTGTTTATTAAAAAAACTGTGCATATCATACAACTGCTCATGGAGGCTTAGAACTAACCAGCGAAATCAGTGATTAAAGCGCCACAGTGAGCAATTAAATACAAACGAAGAAATGCACCGTGTCACCTTGAATACGTTCAGACGGCGCTGCTTGACTTGACGAAATGGGAATTGGCATTAAAGATTTGTATGTCGCTTCGAGGAAACCTATTTGGTATAGCACTCTTTTGATTACCATAACGCATGAAGTTCACCTGCTGGCAGTGTTGACGTTGCCTAGCAAATTTCTTCAAATTTTTTTTATCGAAGTTGTTTTTTCTAACCTTTGACGAACTGACGCAAGACACCGGTGACATTGGTTTCCTTTTTTCTGATGGGTTGGCCATTTTAGCCTCGGGATGAGACTGACATTAGGCATTGTGACTTCTATGACGAACGAACTTCTCAAGCTCGAACTCAGCTACGTCCTGGTGGTATCCTCCCTGCCTTTTCAGGGTTGCTTATTTGTTGCAGCTGACCTCCATATCTTAAGTTTGTTCTCCTATCCTCAACCTGGGAATGCGCCGGATGGCCAGCCGGGCATAGCGGCAACACAAAGTATTGCGGCCTACGCAATTCGTCGCCTATTATCAGTCTGTCTGGTCTCTTTTGGCAGTTATCGTACCCTCATGACTTTAGGGGAGGTAAGATACACGGCCTGATTAAAAGATGTTTGAGTTGCTGCTTAGATCTATTTTCATTACCAATGGTTAATCTGCGTTTTAGATAACTACGACCGCTTTACGGTTCCGTGTGTCTTTTTCCACGTCAGTTAACTATTCCAATAGTTAAGCATTCTAGGTATTGATTATGCTGATATTAATTGGTAATTGGTCCCTATCGTTATGCAATAAAACTGAAATTGCGACACAGTGAAATTGTGAAATCATAGGTACTGATTAAAATACGATGACGAAAGTTTAGTTGCTAGTCAGACTGTGGTTCGAACTGGGCAGCCGTATCATTTGCTTGAATAATAGTTGTTGAGACTTATAAATGAACTGAAGTGTATAACAAGTCTTACTTAAGTACACCCACCGTTTGACCCAGTACTCTCGGCCGGGCAGAAACTACTCCGCTAATGTATTTCATGTTTTTAGGAACTTGGGAAAAAATGGCTTGACGTGCTGGCGGAAGATTTTGAAGACACGATGCCAACCTTTATCGACAGTGACGAGGAAGAAGAAGAGTAACTACCAATTTTTTCGTTTAGTAAAGTTGAGCTGTGTCGCACTAAATTTTTGTCGCTATGTTACATGGTGAAAATTAGCCCAGTGCCCACTCATATCTTCAATCCAGCAATTTTACTGTTGATTGCTTCTCCTTAATAATACTTTTCTTGCTTATGATCTAGCCCTAAATGATCTGTGATCATAAATCCAGTTGACCATTAAGTTTCGTTCTGAGCCCATAACACTGATGGGACACCGTTTATTGTCGTTGCTGTTATCGAAATCTAAGGCTGACAGTCTGATGTCATAGTTGCCCAGATTATTAAATGAAATTTGTATAAGAGCAGAAACGAAGTTTGTCATACTGGGTCAAACATCATTAATCTGACTAACGGACGAT